AATTTTACAGCAGCAAATGATACATCCAAGTCCGACGTTTTTATTAGTTCATACTGTATATTATTCCTAATGAATATTCCAACTCGGCTTCCACGTTGTTTATAACAGAAAAACTCTGCAGAGAAACATGGGAAGTTGTAGTACTTGTCTTCTTTTTTGATCCAAGATTCAGTTACAATAACAATAATTGCCTTTTTCAGCTATGATTCTGACTTCTGAATTTCGTGTTTCATGGAGAGAATATTGAAGAGTAATATTGATTTCTACTGTGAATAACATTTGTAATTGAACAGTGATATTTGTAAACTTTCGTTTTGTAGTTGATTGGCAGTTATAACATCTACTCCTAGTATCAATTTGGCTGCAGTGATCTAAGAGGTGCTCTTCAGAACAATAGGGATACCTTGTATTATTTCTTCAATTTTTTGAATAGTGATTATAACTGACACATTCTTTGCACTGAGTTATATGATTGTATTCATACATTCTACATGACTGCCAATCCTTCAACAATTGCAAAGATGGTACATGTAATTTTTTGTTCAATTCTATCGACAAGTTTAATTTTGAAGTGAACTGCAAACATTCCATTATGTTTTTTTATTTTATACTCCAAATCGTACTTCGTTAACGGTTCTTTGAATTTCATTCCAACTATTACGATTTTCAGTTTTCCTTCTATTGCATAAGAATTTTCTTTCTATCTATTTCAATATTTGTTCTATCAATTTGAAATGGTCTGTTTCACTATCACATTAAATTTGCCCGTATTTCAAAACATAAATTTTAATAATTTTCAGTTTGTAGTGCTGGATCATTTTTTTCTCCTGTGAATCGTTTTATTCATCTCTTGAGTAGATTTCGGTTTTAATGAGATATCACTGAGTGTACTTTACGAAAGAAGATCATTTAAATTTGATTATGACCGATGGCAAATGTAATCGAAATATCGACCGGACATGCAGGTTATTTGCCGAAAAGTATTTGGAAAAACTCAAACCGAATTACATTACGGTAAAAAGACTGTTGACAAATCGTTTGCATCATAAATCATTTCTACCAGAAATAGCAGAACGAAAGCCTCAGATGGATGAAAAGAATGGAAATAGATGTTCTTGGATATGTTGTTGCTCATCCAAATACGTTTTCGAAATATTGTGAGAAAAACCCACCAGATAAACCCAGAACCGTTCACCGCATTTTGAAAAAGCACAAATGAAAATCGTTCAAAGATCATCTGGTACATCATCTGAAAAACACGGATTTGCATTGTCGAACTAAGTTTTGTTGTGAGAGATGCAGTGAATAATTCATCAATTGAATATGCGGAAAATATTTGGTACTAACAGGATGGAGCACCGCCTCATAATTGCGATATCGTAGGCGTATCACTAGATCAATTATTTTATAAGTGTATAGCCAATAATGACCGTACCTTTGGCCAGCATGTTCCCTCGATCTGTCTTCTATAGACTATTATGTATAGGGACATAATAAAAATTTTGTATATGCAGATCCTGCAACAGGTAAAGAAAATATGATTAGGAAAGTTTTACAAGCATTCAATGCCCTAGATGTCGATGAATTCAGCTGTGCTGTAAATAACAATTTGATGAAGAGAGTTAATAAATGGCTTAAAGTTAATGGAAATATCTTCGAACATATTTTGAAATAGTTTTGATATTTTGTGTGAAAAGACAATGCAATATTTTTTAATTTTCGCTTTTTTATGAAACATTTAGAATCCATAATTTATCCATCTGAAATCCAGGTTTTCAATAAAAACCATGACAGGCAAATTAATAGCTCTAATAAACTTTCTGTACAAGACGATGGAATGAAGTATTTTGAATAATCATTAATAGGTTATTTATATATTCTATCAAATGTTTGAATTTTTGGGGGGAATCACTAGAGAGCCGAATAATACCTACTGTTTTTAAGTAAAAAAATTACTATCTCGAGAACGGTTCATTTTTTGTATTGGGTGTATTACATAAACTCGCAAAATAAATATGAGTCTGTCAATCATTGGTATACAAAATTTTTCAAAAACATCCCAATCCAAAATGATCAAGAAATAGGTGAAGGTGTATATTATAACATATTATAACATCATATGGGGGAAAAATACAGCCCCAGGATCAGACAATATATCTAGGAGAATAGTAAGAGTCCTAGAACCAGACATACACAAACATATCATCTCTATCTATGAATATTGTTTGAACAATCATTATATCCCACAGATTGGAAAGTATTAGAGTGTATTATATATATGTCAGTTGGAAATATAATTTTGAAAACCGTTCTCAATCACTTTAGCTTTTCATATTTACGTAAATCTCCACTGCCATACTTCTATTCTGCTATTGTATAATAACAGGTTACGGGCCCAGTAGCTTAATCTGAAAAGTTACACGACGACATTTGAATTAATTGAGAACTTGAGACAACAAGAAAATTGAGAACCAAATACCGATTTGGTTATCTTCGATTTGGTTATCTTCATATTTTGCGATAAATCCTCATTGGAATGGAATTGGTTTGACTTTGATTATTGAAAAATTGTTCGCTGTTGAATTGGATATTTTTCTCATGTTTCGGAATATCGATCTTACTTTCAGATTTTTGGTAAATTTTCATAGGAAACACGTCTTCTTCAAATGTAACGTCACGACTGATAAAAATATTGTTTTTTGGAAAGCAAAGATGTGTTTCCTGAGGCACAGTAGAATCAGAATTTTTCGCACTCACTGAAGCAGCAAAGGAATTTATATTTCTTCAGAAACTGACAGAACAAATATGTCAGAATACATACTTCTGAAAAGGTTTCCCAATTTTCATAGACAACAAGGAGCTATGAAACTTGCTGAAAATTATACCACATTGGATTGATACAAGCACATAGATTTGAATTTATTTTTTATATGAGACTTGATAGAAGAAAAGCAAATCATTCTGAAATATGTCACATCGAACTTGAATTTGTTTCAGGAATAGTTGATTTTTGTAATATTTTTATGATGAACGACGATGTTACGTACTATATATGTCAGTTGAAAATATATTTTTGAAAACCGTTCTTAACCACTTTTGCTTTTCGCAAATCTCCACTGCAATACTTTCATTCTGATATTGTATAATAACAGAAAGAAGGATTGATAATTGCCATTCCAAAGCCCAATACAGACCTGCAACCACAGACCCATTACTCTTCTGCCAGTGTTAGGAAAAAATTTCGAGAAAACCATGAAATATCAACTCAGTGAACATATCAATATACCAATGTATCAATTTGGTTTTGGAGAAAAAATAAATAAAACCCACCCAACAGCAATTGTAACATCTAACGTACAAACAGGAATATTGTATAAACTTCAAGAATTGAATACCGCTGTCTATCTTCTATGTATAATTAAAAAAAATGAGAACAGAACCCTCACCATCAGAGTAAGACATTCATTCTCCCAAAAATTTGCTCCCTAAATAGAGTTTCACAAGGCTCTCCGTTATCTCCGCTTTTCTATGATATATACTGCCATGATATATAGAATCACAACTTGGAATACAAGAATGAATTCTATAAAAACTTTTACATCTTACAGTTTGCAGATTAGTTTCACACAACTACACACTAGCACTCACAATAGAGGAACTTCAAAGCCTCGTCAACAGGACAAAAGGAAAAAATCACAATTCATCAGTACAACCCTTCAGAGAAGCTACCTGCAATAAACATCAACAACTAAATGGTAAGAAGCAGGCAATCAGTAAAATACTAGGGAGTTAACATTAACCACAAAATCAACTTGAAGAGCCATACAAAACTGATTAAAAAGATATGCATCGATAGAAGAAAACACTTTCGGAGTTTGACATTAAAAAAAAAAGAGGAATCAACACAAAGACTGCAACTAAAATATATAAAATGATCTGCCGTCCACTTCTCAAATATGCACATAAAATTTAATCGAGTTGTCTAATCCTGCATCAAATAATCTCCAAACAGCTGAAACATCTACAGTAAGGAGTATTACCAAAATGCATCAGACTCAGAACATACTACACAATCCTTCAAATGCACTGTTGTATGAAACTAGAAATCCATAAAGGAGAGACTATCAGACTTAGGAAACCATTTTGCAAAAAAACGAAACTAACTTGAAGACCTATTGAAAATACTTTCCAACACCAGAACAAAAAATACAGTCAAGTACAATACAAGTTAGCATCCTCAGGAGCAGTTAGGCCATTAGCATATAAAAACACATAGTTGTAAAATTTAGTCATATTGATCTCCTGAGGACGCTAACTTGGCTAGCGAAACGCGCGTCGAGAAACCGTAATTTTTGTTCTGGTGTTGGTAAAGTGTTTTCACTAGATTCATTTTACGCCAGAGATTCCAGTACGAACTATCAAATTAACTTGGAGACCCTGCAGGCATTATGTAGGGAAAGAGCTGAAGGAAATACCCCGAAAAAACTATTTGGGAAAACATCAAATCACTCTTATAATTAATTATTATTTTGTTGTTTTTTCCACAAATCCAATGTACCTTAGTTCTATTGTAAAAACATATGTAAAACTCAGTATAAATATTTAAAAATTGTACACTGCCAGAAGGACTTCGGTCGATGGCCATTTGGTATTCACCAACAAATGACATTCATAATTATTATTTATAATTATATTTCTAGCTATTAATGTAAATACCTTCATAATAAATTATAGAAAGATACTGTTGAGCAGAAATCCTTTTTACCCTTCCTAGAATCTACAAAGTCATGTTAGATAAATATTCAGTTTTCTTCCCCATTATTCATAAATTACCTTTTATAAATAATTCTAGATTATTCAGAATAACATTGATGATTTTGCTTCACATATCCCACCTTTTTCAGTTCAAGAAATAACATTTCATTGTTTTGTATATTTGAAAAGGAGTAATTAAATTAAATTAATCTATGTTAATAGGAAGTATGACATTGAAATTCTTATTATTAAACAATATAATTTATTGATTCAATTGGACATTATACTTTTCAAAATAAACTATCAGGAATACAATAAAGCAATAATCCAATATTATTATTAGTTAGTCTTTTTCTTATTAGAAATGGAAATCATAAGAGACCATGAAATGTATATAACTTCGCTAGTAAATTAGCGAGTTTTGTTATGATTTTAAAATACTACTATATTCATTTTAAAGGTGTTGGTATGTTTGTTATCAACATATATCCTTAAAACATAATGTGGGATCTTCACTTTAGAGAGAGTATTTTACCTTGAATATATTAAGTGAATAACAAAACAAAATAAATCTGTATATAAAATAACCCATATTACTGGAATTCTTTACTAGGCGTTGAAATTCCAACAGCTTCCTCATAGCCAGAAGAAGACTTTTTGGATTTTCCTTTCCCTGAAGAAAATAGACATATATAAAAATCTTTGAAAACTAAATAAATGTTAGAAAGAAAAATAATTTATATATTTTCATATTATCATTCAGTATATAAAGTAACTCATCTCTTTATCACCTTTGAGAAAAAATAAAAGAATGAGAGCTAAAAAACCAGGGTCTAGAATATTACTTATAGTATTTTTTTAGGTTAAATTTAATGTTTCAAATTAACAAGGGTTGTAATATTGGGCACTAGCACAATAAAAACTTGAGAGGACTTTGCGAAACCTTATTAATAAACACTAGCGACTCGTCCCGGCTCCGTACGGGTGCAATGCTGATACTAAATATACATACAAATTCGTGCGATCACTGCTAATTATAAAATGCTATAGGCCGAAGCGCGGCCTTCGACGCGCTATTTATAGGCACGCGCCGCCGGCCCCCCGGCTGGTACCGCTGCAACCGCTATGTCCCTGCATTTTGAATCTGTGATGTCTTCAAAAATATTTATTTAAATTACATGCCATATTGATCCTTTTCTCAAGTTTCTCAATTTCTGAGAATTGCCGTTCGTATGGGGGCAACAGCTGATTAACGAAAAAACAGATTTTAAACAGATCTTAAATGCACAATGTATTTAAGGTACTTAGGGTAAGGATTAATGCTGTAAGATTTAGCTAGCGTTTGCAATGTAAGCACAAAAAAATGTGTTTATTTACAACACCACATTAGAAACCTCTAAAATTATCAATGTTTCTCTAATATATTATGCATTGTTTTATACTATGCAGTGATTTCCGTATTTAGTGCTTTTTAAGTTTATTTTTGCTTATTTTTCCACTTCTCTGAAACTATATTTTTTTGGAAATGGAATACAGCCCATTTCACTGGCTTATAATACTAGTTAAGATCAGATAAGAGGATCTATAAGTAGAAAATGGGAAATGGAGATGGATTGAAGTCTTTAGGCATGTAACTTGATTGAATTTGTTCTTTTGTCCCTTGAACCTGAGTTAATCATTGATTTTGAGTTTCGGAAAAGACAAATTGAACTATAGCAATGAATTTTCAACCTTGAAGCATTGAAGCATTAAGAATATAAATCGCCTTTCCTAAAGCACATACCTGATATTTTGTTCTTCCTGAAAATAGTCAGACAAATTCTTCTTGACTGCAAAACCAATGAAAGCTCTGATGGCATTCCATCTATGTTGGTTGAAAAACTGTTTGTTTGTTACCAAACCTTTCAAACAGGCTAGTAACTTGAGGAAACTTTAAAATGAAAGAAATCCTTACTCAAAATCATAGAACAATTTGTTTATTACCCGTCATTTCCAAAGTGATGTAGATATTGAATGTTTGCTAACATTGCTTCCAATATCAGATCAATTCAAAAAACTAAAACCATTAACCCTTGGACATGAATGGAATCAGCAACTACCTATATTTCTGCGATAAACATTCTTAATACACCCTTACTTAATGAAAATCAATAACAATACTCACAACTTTTAGAAAATAGATGGAGTAGGCTTGGTTTTGTTTGGTCTCAAGAAGTTATCTTTTTGCCAACCCCATTCTTCAGAAGTTACTAAAGCATCATGTTTATATTGTTGAATTTGCAAGTAAACTCATTCCATATGCCATCAATCACACGTTGAGATGTAAAACCTCGTTAGCTCTCAGCTCGACATGGGGACGACAGCTGGTTGATGGAAAAACAGTTTTTTTATAAACAAAACATGCAATTTTGCTGCAACCTCTGTTGGAGGTACGAACTAAGTTGTGTAGTATTTTCATAGATATACAAAATAACAATTCAATCCTGAATGATAAAACCAGAAAGCAGGTACTCAACAAGGATTATATCTTGACTGAGTTGTTGCTGAGACTTCATCATCGCAGCTACTTCAGGTTCCATTCGACCACTGCCTACCAGCCTGGATTTTGTTCTCTTGGGCCTAGGAGATTTACTAGAAAGTTTCAAGGTGATCTTTATGTACACAATGATTTCATTCAAAAAAACTATACAGCTAATTAGTGAAGTGTTCTTAGCAGACATAACGGCCCAGTTCGCTCATAGTTTCTCACATACAGACAGCTGAGAGATCTGAACTGGCTTAAGAAAAGAGTTAATGACCCTACTATATCAGAACATTATAAAAATGTAAAAAAATCTGTGGATATAAAAATTTGCAAAGAAAAAAAACAATATCACTCTGACTTAATTAACAAATCAAATAATAAAGCCAAATCTCTCTGGAGATTAGTTAATGAAAAAATGGGCAGGATCAATCAGAAAAAAGAAATCACCCTTACTGTGAATGGGACGAACTTGACAAAGAATACCGATAGGAAGTATGACATTGAAATTCTTATTATTAAAACAAAGCACCCACATCGAACCGGCCTGGCTATAGGTTTGCCCCAATTCAGTTGAAGACAAATTTTTTTGGATAAACTTTGTCATAAACGTTAAATTAAGGTTTACAAGGTTTAAAAGTTTTTACCTTAGCAACTTTTGACGTAAGTAGATTTATAGAGAAATAACTTAAATTATATTCTAGACCTTAGTTTTCTCCTGAATTCAATGTTTTTTTTTGTCCAAAAAGTAACAAAGAAGTCACTCTGAATAATTTAATATGTGTTATAATTTCTTGACCAACTTTGTTTTATGAAAATAGATAATGTATGCACATAGATATATTGGTACAAAAATCGTTGAAACAAAGTGAATCATTTTACTTTTTTTGTTTCAAAAATGATTTGGTAAATATATTGGTTCAAAGAATTTCGTGAAAAATGTTTTCAGATATGCTCAGTGATTAATAACAATCACGGAATAAAGAGGCAAGTTACTAGGGAAATCTTTATTAACAAAAAATAAAACAACAATTATGTTTGAATAAACAGAAAATAATGAATATTCCTGATATGATCTAGAAACGAAGTGAGGCAGAACCTAACACTCATGAAACCTTCCGATCTTTCATTTAACTAACAATCAATATATCAACAACCTACCTCGTTCCTTTTTATCTCTGGTCTTTTTCTCTTTCTTTACACTTTTTATCTCTTCGGCGACTTTTGCAGGAACCTCATCATCCAGAAGTAACAGATTTGCTTCTACTGGTTCCTTGAATGGCTTTTCCTTGTGTTTGCTACTTTTCTTCTTCTTTTGTTTCTCTGAACTTGGTAAATTAGAAGTCACATTTTCCTTGGCAGATTTTTCTTTACTATACTTGTCTTTCTCTCCCTTCTTTCTAGAATGTTTTTTATCCTTCCTAACATTGATATCACTTTTATGTTTCTCAGGTTTAGATGAATAATCAAGTGTAGGCCTGAAATTAATGAAAAGACTAATTTTAGGTACTGTACTGTCTTTATTATCCCAACAAACATTAAATGATCATGAATAGGGATTAACTAAATCAACTAAAAATACAAATTTAACAAAATAACGATATATTGAAGAAAACACACGTGATTAATATAAGCAGTGAACATTAAGTTTGTGAATAGGTATTGTAAACTAAAACTAAAAAATGAATAAATAAAGAATACAAGTGAAATTAATGTTTGTTTGAAGGTGGTTGACAATGTTTCATGGTGAATTTCATTAGTTGAACTTCCATTGTCTAATCTGATACAAAATTATTTGAAATACCTGAAAGACCCAATACAATTGAAAATTAAAATGAATAGCTGAAAATAACAATTATATTAAGCAAAAAAACCCTGAAAGCAAATTACAATAAAATAGAATATAAGCAACAATTGAAAATTGAACAATTATAAAGAAATAAAAATTTTAATATTTCAAGCCAAGTTACTTCACGACGATTCTATTGTTAGTATCGACAATCATCTTCGGGTGATGACCACTAGGAAGAAATCAAAACATTAAAGTGGAGCACCGTACTGCTGAATGATCTGCTTCATCAATTCGAATTTGTATCTCACGATTATATGAATTCCCTTGAAATGTGTCTACAAAAAAATCAAAGTAGATCTTGAAAAAAAAATGAATTCATTTATAAAAAACTACTTCAGTTGGTTGAATGATAATGCATCTTACTCTGTTTATCCTACATTTTTACGAACTTTATGGAACCACTTTAATTCCTGAATATGTATTATGGGTTACAAATTTAAATCTTTGGAATTTTTTCGAGCATTGCAAAAATATTACTGGAGTTTTTTCCCAACACCAAATCGTTATTTTAACACCTCGACACGTGTTTCGATCACTAAGTGATCATCTTCAAAGAGGAAGTTTTAGCCTTCCTGTCTTTGAAGATGATCACTTGGTGATCAAAACACGTGTCGAGGTGTTAAAAATAACATTTGAAATAATCAACTGATAATAATTTTATTTGTCTAGTGTTATGACTATGAATATTATTGACTTCTATGTGATTTATGTTTGAAATTTTTCATTGATTTGTTATTGCATTATTGAAACAAAAAATTCATTCAATATTGTTCACAAATATTTTACTTTGTGATATCATCTAAGAAGCAGTTTTTCTGTTGTAGAATTTCACACCGACACCGACCTTGAGGCATTAGGATTTGACCAATTTGAATTACACTGGCTTGTGAGCTCTACGAAAATCATGTTGGTTTAAGTCGAATAATATAATTTTCTATAGTGGGTCCAGTGGCTGTAGTGGTGTCCCCAGAACATATTGTTGAATGACAACCCTCGACATATTCAATCAGATTAGTAGCAAAAAGAAATATAGTAAAAGAAAAAGAACAAACCTTGAGGGTTACCAAATCTACAGTGCATTTTGCAGAAACTGAGGTTTCAACATGGCGAAACATTCTCCCCACCACACTCGACATTAAAAGGATAATTATTGTGGATCAAAAAGTACTTTTTTATTGAGATGTCTCAAAATGCAATTCGCTCTCGTTGCAAACGCATCAGTGTGTTATTGGGATATGCTTGTTTTCATGCTTTTCAAACTATATTTCATAAAATTAAATCCTGAAGTTTGAATATTCACTATAAGAACAATCTTTCGCAAGATGGAAACAATAGATACAAGAGATAAGGAAATCGAGCTTTTATCTATGAGAAGTCGATTGAATAATTAGAAGAATTCTTGATGAGTTACATATGATATGGAAGTACATTTGATTTATTTTTGTACACAATTCTAACAACTGAAAATGGTAGTGATCACTCGACAATCGAAAGTATACGGAAATAAATCGTTGGAAAGTGTAGTTGAAACACTGTTCAGCGGAAAAGTATGATGAATTATAGATAGATAGATAGATAGATATGTTTATTCATCACTGAAGTTTTACAAGATACAGCATATAAACTTGCCTCCCTAAAACTTATCGGACTAGTCAGACATACAACAAATACAATTAGTATAAAAATAAAAGCATAAGCTACCCTATACCAACTTATATATACTATGAACAGAATGCTAAGAACTCGTCCATTGAATAAAAGGCATTTGCACATAAAAGATCAAACAATTTTGATTTAAATAATTCAAAGCTCTCAATTTCACCCATTAGTGTGACTGTGTGATTATAGCAAATAATTCCCTGATACATATATGAATTCTGTCCCAGTGATAAGCGAGAGAATGGCAAACGTATACAATTAGCGTTGCGTGTACTATAATTGTGGATCATAAAACCCCTCTCATGGCTGAAGTGCCGTTTTTTTACCTCAAGAGTTATTAAATATATATATAAGCATGAAAGAGTTAGAATTCTCAAACGAACAAAGATTTCTCTACAGCTCTCTCGAGGGTTGGCTCTCACCATACATCTTAAAATTCTTTTCTGTATTATAAACACCTTTTGAATATGAGCAGAATTGCCCCAAACAATAAGACCATAACTCAGTGTGGACTGAACAAGACCATAATAAGCTAGCTTAAGAGTTTCCAGAGATACTGTTCCTTGTAGTTATTCAGTAGAAAACATAGAATTGAAAATGTGCTACAAGTTAAATTTTTGACAATTATAGAAAGTGTAGGGGATTTGGACTTTCAAGGGAAGTTTGGAAAATTAGATATTCCAGGGAGGTTTTATTTCATTGCAGAGCGGAATAAAACCCAGAAGAGTTGAGAAAACAAAATTTTGAGTTGAAAACGTTGGGATATTTAGGACTTCGTTGATTCATAAATGAGTATGTCACAATCATGACTATCACCTATTGTAATTGGGTTAGAGGATAAAAATGGGTGGTGATCACTATTTTGTATTTTTTATAATTTGAGAAGCCGTTTCTGCAACTGTGAGACACTTGATTTTACGACTTGCATTCTAAAGTATAGATATTTTCACGAGCTATCTGCGTTTGATATTGAGAAAATAATAAATAATCAGATAGATATTTATTACACGAGTAATTGTAGTCATATACAAAACAGTACATAATAGTCAAAAATTATATAATATTTAGTATAATTTTTGAATATGAATTGTGTTTTAGCAATTTCAGTAACAGTCTTCTTTACAACGACTGCTTTTTCAAGGTACTGAAATTTCAAAAATTCATTATAAATGAAATCCCCCCGCCCTGATCATTTTTTGTTTCTGAAGTTTAATTTGGTTTCAAACTCAAAGTCTCATTTTCCAATAAAAATCTTGCAAATAATTGAATGTATTTAAAGAGTTCTTCATTGAAATGGGAAATTCGCAACTGAAAAATATTCTACAAAATGACCGTGAACAATTATTTGGAAATATTTCAGTCTATAGAACCAGATTCAATATTCGGATGAATTTCCAAATTTCAATTAAATAATGCCAACAATAATGAGCGGTTTTATGACACGATACTTCATTTTACTTACAGGTCTAAATCAATGTCCAGAGCTCTGTGGGGATCGTCCTTTTGGGCATGATCACTGTCAGAATCAGAAAGCGTAGCTCCCTCGGGCAGTTCCATATCCCTTTTCACTTCTATTGCTTGTACTTGATTTGCATCATCATCTGAGGAACTGAAAATGTTTTCAAAATCAATAACCCTGCTAAGAAAGTCTCCAATTTGATTCACAGAGTTCGCGGAAAATTTTGAAAGCTGCAATGTTGATGTATAAAAACAAATCAGTATTGCAAAGAAAATCAATAAGACGATTGTCATTGTTTTCATTGATTGACAGTGTTTTTATTCAGGTATGTATAAAGTATTTTATTCGATTTCTTTTGATAATGATTATTTTAATATTTGCTGTAAGCCAGATAATAACCATTGTCGTCATTTTTATTGAAGTTTATAAGGTGGTCTTGGGAATTTTTCAATGCAGTTCCACTCTATTCCTAACAATACATATCAACACTTTTCTCACCCACCATTTTATTTCATTGAAAGAACAATTTTATCGGGTTTGAAGGTGGTTGACAATGTTTCGTGGTGCATTTCATCAGTTCGGACTTCCATTGTCTAATATGATATAAATTGATTCGAAATCCCTAAAAGAATCTGTAAAAAATTAAAAAGATTAGCTAAAAAATAACAATTTTATTAAACAAACAACTGAAATTACAAACAAATAACATACAAGCAACAACCAAATAAATAAAAAAATTGAACTATTAACACGAGCTGAAAAATTAAAAAATCATTAACAAGAAATGAAAATTAAAGATTCCAAACCAAGTTACTTCACGACGTTTCGATTGTTAGTATCCACAATCGTCTTCGGGTGATTAATTCGGGTGGTTGTTGTTTGTATGTTATTTCATTGTAATTTTGTTTTTTGCTTAATAAAATTGTTATTTTTCAGCTAATCTTTACAATTTTTTACAAATTCTTTCAGGATTCCAAATCAATTTATATCATATTAGACAATGGAAGTCCGAACTGATGAAATGCACAATTTTATCGGGTTTGTACACTGACTGAAAGAGTTGTGTGAATGCATTTGCAATATCATTACTATTATCAAAGTTCAATCACCACATTACATAGATTCTGGTAAACCATTATTTTTCTGTTTGGTATTAACAAAGTTCCGAAAATTTTGTTCGATGCTAGGTTATACTTAACTTCTTTAATGTTATTTTCATAATTTACTTATGCGTGCTAATTTAATTGGGCTCTAATACTGGAAAATATCATGTAGTCATCCTAATTTTTGATAGTTTTGTGTAGCTTATGAACTTTTTTCTTTTTGATAGTTAGTTTCTTTATATTATATTGTCAAATCAACAGGAAAATCATGACTCACATAGGCGAACAGAGGGAACAAAATGTTGTATGCCTATGTACTGAATAACATAAATTTCTGTGACTGGTTAATATCAGATATGCAGCCATGATAAATGTCCAAATCAATACCAGCTAGATAGAAATTCAAACCAATATAATTTGCATTCTTGAAGTCGACAATAGAATTTTCATTTTCCAACTCTTTCAAATCATTGAAAATTGATATTTTCATCGGTGGATGACAACAAACAGTCATTAGGCATTTCTACGAAACAGTTTATTGAATTCGTTAAAAAATAACAGTTCCAACAAAACAACATGGCATTTGTTAATTTTAATTGATTAAAAAGTATTGTGAGACGAGAAGCAGTCCACAATATATTAAATCAAAATTCTGGTATAAAATTCATCCAACACAAAAAATCCGCCCACACACCACAACTGCAACACTCTTTTCGATGCACATTTGAGTAAATTGATGATCATCAATATAGTTTATTTGCTGATGAGACCAAATGGATGGGTGAAACGTGGGTCAAGATCAATGCTGTAGTTCTGAGTAAGTTGAATGCATAATGAATACAGAAAAAAAATTTGTCCGCGTCCGGTGTTTTTAGTTGTTCGACGTTTCGGCTTCGACTTTGAAGCCATTTTCAAGGAGTTACCACTACAATGAGGTCTCGATCTGCCTACGCCTCAGGTAGTGACACGCTGCAAGGGTTTTGTGACTTGACGCCGGGGGCTCAATCTGCCTACTCCCCAGGTCTCAATCTGCCTACTCTCGATCGTCGACTGTGTGTCCACACATTCTGGTCTGATATTTATGTTCCTGGACGAGTGGTGAGGGGGACTGGTAGGGCTAGTTATTGTGGAGTTGATAGTGGGAACGGGGTTGAGACTTGCAGAAGCGAAGTGTGCAATGTTGTAAGATGTATGGCGTGACAGTAAGGATTTTCATGAATGAGTTAATCCTTGTTAATCATCTCGTGACTTGACGCCGGGGGCTCAATCTGCCTACTACCCAGGTCTCAATCTGCATACTCCCGAGCGTCGACTGCGGGTACACAGATTTCGGCTGCTGGTATTTATGTTCCTAGACAAGAGGAGGGGGAAACCGGTAGTGATAGCGATGGTGGAGTTGGTAGTGGGAACAGGGTTGAGACTTGCAGAAGCGAAGTGTGCAATCTTGTAAGATGTATGGCATGACAGTAAAGATATTCATGAATGAGGTAATCTTCGTTAATCATCTCGTTTGTTGAGGCAGTTGGGACGTTTTTCAGTTTCAATAGCTTTGTGGATCATTCTGACCTAGAGAGTTTTTTTGGTGGCATGGTACGGTAATTTTTAGTCTAATAGAAATTTTGACTTACAGAAAAATATAAAAATATCAAAATGAATGATTTAATGTTCATACAGGGTGTTTGAAATCCGATCCTCACTATAGGGATCTCGGAAACTATGAGAGATATGAAGATGGTTAAAATGGGGCAAAGTTGCGCATTTACCTGTCTAACAATATGTCGTTGAGAAAGTTCTGAAATTCCGAGTGTGTCCGAAGATATCCGGAAAATACAGAAATTTCGGAAAATGGTTTTTATTTTTTTCTGGCTTTATTTTTCGAAGGATTTGAAAATAAATTGCACTTCCACATTGCCACTTTTTTCCTGCTATATAATGGTGTTTTCAGATTTGCTATCCGACGTTTCGTCTTCCGGCCACCATCATCAACTTTATTTTTTCTTATGGGCGCTACATTGTATTCTTTCTGTTTTGAATAGAACCAGATTTTACCTTTTCAATGATGTATCATAAGTTATCATTCTTTTTCGAAAAATTGGAGATATTGAAAAAAAATTAATTCTTATCATAATAGACTTTGACTTTGATGTTTCTAAATTTGACTTTCAATTTGTTACACTCAATGACATTTTGTTATTGTACAAGTCATTGAATTTTTGGCGAAAAATGGCTTTCACGAATGAAGAAAAAAGAGATATGATACAAATGTATTATAAATACGATAGAAACAGTGTTAAGACATCGAAAATATATTCGAAAATATATTTGAACTTGTATCCCGAACGACAACAACCATACCGAACTATGTTCAAGGCCAAACATGGAACGGGAGCTGGAATATACCGAGCGAATAGAAATTTAAACTATAGTTATCCGCTAGGACTATAAACATCCGTCTTTCAGGCGGAAGTGTATGCTATATTGCAGTGTGCAAGGCTTATTAAATTGAGACCTCAAAGAAATGAGCGGATCAATATTTTAACAGACAGCAAGAGCGCACTAGGGGCTCTGACAAACCCGAATGTGACATCAAAACTGGTCTGGGAATGCCATGAAGAACTGAATGAACTTGCAAACAAATTAACTTTGTACTGGGTGCCAGGACATTCAGGAATCACATAAAGCTGATGAATGTGCTAGACACAGATCATCAACTTCATATATAGGTCCTGAACCAGCTCTGGGGGTACCAAAATCATTGGTACGAAACCAGATTAGTAACATGGACCAATAAGAAGCACACAGAGTACTGGACAAAAGTACCTGGCAACAAACACAGTAGAGCCTTCATTATAGTAGGGATCGGCTCAGAATAATTACAGGGTTACTAACCTGTCATTGGCCGCTTAGAGGACACCTGAATAAAACGGAGACCTCAGCTGCAGATTATGCAACGAAGGGATAGAAACAGCTCTACACATCTTATGCGAATGTGAGGCGCTGAATCACAGGAGGCAGGCAATATATGGATGTACAAAATTACGCCCAGAAGAATATGCCTAATATCCAACACGGAACCTGTACAAACTAGTACAGGGAACGAGACTGACGGAATGGGTGTCATGAGAATATGGGAGAATGAATGCAATAAGCCTAAGAGGCTGCAGTGTTTTCTGGAGACTTGGACTAAATGGACAAGTCAGACAGCTCCCAAGGCACCAAAAAAAAAATTTTCAAGTTATTGGATCAAAATCTCGCCGAGTTTGGTTCATTTGAAAAGCCGAGGAAAAATACGGAGACAGAATGGACCAGGAAACTAAAGAAAATTTGATAAATGAGGTATGTATGAGGTAAGTTAGACATTGTGTCCTTTTCAATAAAAATTAATAATTTACAGATAAACATGAACCCTGGGAAATCACAGCAAGTGCATTTTGAGCATTTGCTGTGATTTACTTTTGTCTTTAAATTTTAGTTAATTATTGTTGTTTGTTCAAAGTTCTATTTTCATTGAAAATGACACAATGTCTAATTTACCTCATACACACCTCATTTTGATTGTTGATTCTGTCTCCGTATTTTTTCATTGGCTTTTCAAACGAACCAAACTCGGTGAGATTTTGATCCAAAACTTGAACATAGTTCGATGTGGTTGTCGTTTTTCGGGATACAAGTTTAAATACATTTCCGATGTCCTAAAACTGTTTCTATCGTATTTGTAATAAATTTGTATCATATCTCTTTTTTCTTCATTTGTGAAAGCCATTTCTCGCCAAAAATTCAATGACATACGTCATTGAGTTCAACAAATTGAAAGCCAAATTTAGAAACATCAAAAGTCAAAGCCTATTATGATAAGATTTTTTTTTCAATATTCTCCTATTTTTCGAAAAAGAATGATAACTTATGATACATCATTGAAAAGGTAAAATCTGGTTCAATTCAAAACAGAAAGAATCCAATGTAGAGCCCATTAGAAAAAATAAAGTTGATGATGATGCCCCGTAGACGAAACGTCGGATAGCAAATCTGAAAATAACATTACGTAGCAGGGAAAAAGTGGCAAAGTGGAAGTGCAATTTATTTTCGAATCCTTCGAAAAATAAAGCCAGAACAAAATGAAATCCATTTTCCAAAATTTCTGTTTTTTCCGGATATATCCGAATATACTCGGAATTTCAGAACTTTCTCAACGGCATATTGCTAGTCAGGTAAATGCGTAACTTTGCCCCAATTTAACCATCTTCGTATCTCTCCTAGTTTCCAAGATCCCAATGGTGAGGATCGAAATTATATAAATAATTAAATTCTTCCTTTCTTTGGAAGATTCTCACATTTTTTTATATCTTCTGTTGAATGTTTTTCCTGAGATAGGACAATATTTTAGCTCAGCGGTAAAGGGATTAATTCCAATTAAATGTTTTCTTACCTTTTTCAGTTCCTCTTCTGTCGGTTCAGATTGATAAATAATAGATTTAACTTTGTCTGGTTTTATAAAGAGATTTTCCATTATTTCTGGTTCACTGTCAGTTTCAGATTCCTCTATTGGGTCATTTATGGGAACATCAAGATCTAGGCTGAAAATATGAATTAATATATCACTAAATTTGAATTTCCAAATAATCAAGTATGAGGATGAATATAGTGGTAATAATACTCTATCAAAAATATCTTTGTTTAGTGATCAGTGAAAATGAAGTAGTAGGTCGAATTTCTTATAACTGTCAATAAATCTGAATTTGGAAATTGATAGCATGCTTCATTGATCTTTCGTAAGGCGGGAAGTTCATATTATATTTATATGTTTTGGTATATCATTGTGATTACGGCAGTTTCCTAGACTTGAAAGAAATTGTGAATAAGTAACACTTACCCTTCTGGCAAAGGTACTTTCTTCTGAGCTTTGGGAGCTACTGGATTTAGTTCACCACAAAACATGCTGATCAATTCCTCAGAAATTGATTTAACATTATTTTCAGATGAACTGTCTAATGCAGGCATTTCAGAGGTTTTTATTGTCTTTTCTAAAACGAATAAATAAAAATTGAACAATAAACTTTAATGAAATGAAAGATATTTTCAGTATTTATCTTATTTTCTCTTTCATAATTCCTTACCTCACAGATGTATGTGTTGCATTCAATGAGTACATAAAATTACTAAGTTCTAGGATGCTGTTGTTACAAGTAAACTCATAATTTATTTGGAAATTTGTTTCTTCATCAGAATAATGGAGTTTGAGTAACAAATAAGAGGACAAAGCCTAAGATTGTAAAAACTGGAGCAATACCATTATGGCATCAAATTCATAAGAGTTAACATATAAACATAAACTTACTCATTGATATCTCCTCATGAACAATTTTAATTACAAAAAGTGAAATGCTGGCCCTTTCTTGAACTTCTAACTCTCCAGATTTGATGCTTTCATTCATTTTTTCTGTCACCATATCACAAACCTTAAGTATTTCATCATACTTTTCTTCAATTTCGTATTTTCCAATTAAATGAGCATATATTTTGAGGATGTTTTGTAAGAAAACAGATTCAATATGTTGTGGTAGAACTTTATATTTCAACATCGATTTCAAGGTTTTTTCCATATCCTTCAGTTCACTATAAAAAAATCAATAGAATAGAATGGGGTTAGATTATCACTGAAGTTACCACAAGGAAGCTTTAGCTATCGTATACTGGACCCGTGATTTCCGGGTCCAGTATACGATATAGATGATAAATTAGCGAGTGGCTTTGATATAATCAAAAGCCATAGAAGGCAATCCTCGTACCCACCTTACAAACTCTCCACAAAGCCATGCAGCTGCATATAAAACTTCTTGCATGATCGTAAACTGTGAAGTTGAAGTATACACATCTAAGACTTGGGCCATTTCATTCACAGCAAAACATCTTATTGCCTGCACACGTATACATACATCCATAATCTGAGCACCAATAATATGACCTAAAAAAAGTATATCCGTCACAAAAAAATTCATGGTATCACATTCAATATTATTCTAAGCCTACATCATCCCCTACAGCACCGAGAGGGGCTTGATCCAGTGGAGTTATGTGACCCGAGACTAATGATCAATGGAGTTTCTGGGATACCAGGTAACCTCTCGGAGTATTTAACTGCATCCCTGCAGGGAGCTTCATGGATGTGGACAACCCTTTCCCCATACTCATGGAAATTCAATGGACCACAGTTTCAAATACAAGAGGGGTAACTTTTCGTAACTCTACTGACATATAATGAGAGTAGTACAAGCCATACTACAACACATTGAATGGGCTTATTGAGGCAATTTGAGGCCTCAAGGAAATGAACGGATCAATATTTACGCAGATAGCCAGGCTGCACTTGGGGTACTGAAAAACCCAAAAGGGTTGTCAAGACTGGTCTGGAAATGCCGTGACAAACTGAGAAAACTGGCGAACAATAATAGATTGACTATATACTGAGTGCCAGGATACTCAGACAACAAAAGAGCTGATGAGTGAGCCAGACACAAATCATCATCTCCATTTATAGACCCTGAACCAGCTAAGAACGATAAATAGTACTGGGAAAACACAGTGAGGAAAACCTCTATAAAGGGACCGCCCGAAAAGAGAACCAAAGAACTGTTTAAACACATCAGGGATTGGCTCATAAAAACAACAGGGCTACTCTCTGGACACTGTCAATTGAGATGACACCTAAACAAAATAGGTATGTATAACAAAGACTTCAATTGTCGGCAATGCAATAAAGGGACATTCAGGCAAACAAGAGGCACTGTATCACAGGGAACAAACAATTCAATACTTATTTTATAAAGTAAATAACAATAATATAATAATAAAATGATCACATCACCTTGTTTGGAACCAAACTCCATCTGCGCTAACTCCACTAAAACTGTAATGTACCATTCAAAGTTTGTAATAAACTGATAGTTATTTTGTGAGCATATCAATATAATTTTGCTCAACAGTTCATCCCTATAAATGGTACCTTCTGCCTTGTCCATATGTACCATAAGTTTTTTCACGATTTCCATTAGATTCTTTTTAGAGACCTAAAAGGTAAATGAACTTACTTTCACAAGAGAGCTAACAAAATAATTTTATCACAATTTATATAAAGCAATAAAAATAAGAATAAAATAAATTAATACTCAGCAGATTCAGGTGAAATTCAAAAGTGTATCAATCGATTTATTGAATTGTTTCAAAAGAATTGTTGTAAAAGAATTTGAATGAATTTTCAACAGTTTTATAAATTTTTATTTTGTATTTTGCAAGATATCCAGAGAGAACAATCGATATCTACTTGTAAGGAATGTTCTTCGAGAAAGCTGGATGATCTGACAACCTTTGGAAATATCGAGCGCAACATCGTGAGACTCCCTGTTTCTTGATTGTCTTATTTCAATGGTGAATGGATATAAGTAAAAAGGTCCCCTGTTGATCTTTGCTTTCGGAAAACAAACTGATGATAGCTTGAAGCAAATATTTAAGAATGTGTTAAGAGCTTTCTTCATGATTCCAGATATTAATATAAAAGTAACTGATCTATAGTTCTTTGGTGGATTTTTCTTACTTTTTTTAGGTATAGGTTAGCAGTCTTCTGACAAGCAAAAAGGAAGCACTTTTTTGTAAGATAAACTGAAGAGTATATAGAACTCTGAAGCAAATTTATTGGCGTATTTTCAAGTACAATGAGAGGGGCTTCATAAGGGTCAGAAGCTTTATTGATGTTAAGCTGTTTTAGTATTCATCTAAACCATGCTGTCAAAAAGTAACATCTGTTCTTGTGGATTGTACAGTGGGAAAACTGGTGATTTTCCCTGAAAAGTCAAATTGGAAACATTCATTTCTCCCCTAGTCCCTATACACTAGGATGTGGCAAATGCCCCCTTTTTTCCTTCATTTTCTGTATGTAGTACGTCATATTTCATTTTATGCCGAAGTTGTGCTTGTTTTCCAACAAATGGCATGCTACTGTTAAATTTATTTACATGAAAAATTTACTAGAATTAGTAGAATCATTAGCAACAATAATTTACCTGTTTTGTACATAATAGCTACCTGTTTACCAATTAATAATCTCTATTAATTAAGGTCGATAATTTGTATAAATTGCATTGTAAAGTAGTGTGGAGTACCAGTTCAATTGAAGATGCTACTATGTAGTGAAAAGCGATTGAAAATAAAATCTATATCATGAAAATTTGTAATTATTATCACGAATAATTTCATCTTATCTGAACCGCATACACAAAATCTTCGTCTGAGACAGACGAACAGAGCTTTATGCGAAGAAGAAATATCTCATGTATCAAAGCTCTAACAGAAATCAAAATGAAGTCTGAAGATTGTATGAAGGACAGATACACATGTACTAAGAAAATTAATAATGCAAATTAAATTCTAAACATTCACATCTCGAAATATTTATAGACATAGTTGAAATTATAGTTGAAACGACATGAGGAGTTCGAGTTGATTTTTAACTGAATTAGTAATTCAATTATTCCCTTTTGAATTTCAATGCAATTATGTTTTCATCTTTGAGAACAGTAAAGAATTTTGTTACAGAAATTTGTGAATCGAGGCTGAGAATATGCACGAATTAGGATATTGGAGTTTGGAAAAAGGGGAATTATTATAAAAGGGGAATTATGAGAACACCCCACATATGCACCACCCTTAGAATTATAAAAAGTTAGTGCAGTCTTCAATTTATGAACTATTCTGTGAAAATCTTTTTTTTAAGGACAAAACATAGGAACTACAGGAAAATCCTTAAGGCGCTCTAGGTTGGATTCTGTTGGATTTCTGTTGGATATCGCTGTATTTCTGATATCAAATCAAATCAAAATATACTTTATTGTCCAAGAAATACAATGTTAATATAAAAAAAGTACTAAAAAAGTATAGATAAAATACCACCATGTATAAAGTGATAGTACAAAGAATAAATTGCTAATATATTGTTACAAGGATTCGCTCAAATACTCTTCCAAACTATAATAGGGTCTATCCACAAGTAGGTAAGCATCTATTGAAATGTCATCAAGCAAACATTTGAATGGTATTATATTCGTTTTGGATGCATTTAGAGAGAGTAAATTTGCATTGCACCAGCTCTTCACCTTCTTCAAGTCGGATGATATTATTTTATTTAGCTCCATTGAGCTAACTAATGGTGTATAGATAAAAACTGGCAATTAATAAAGGTTTGAATAAAACAGGTACAAATACAATAAAAATAAATATAAAATGGAATACACTTTTGAAATGATTCATTAAAATACTCTTGCAAGCTATAATAGGGTCTATCAGCTAGCAAATTACTAACTGCTTTCTTGAATTGTATGTTGGTCAGATTTGGAGACCTTATATCTACTGGTAAGTGATTGAATAATTTTCCACCTTTATAAAAAATGGAATCCTTGATTAATGTTGAGTTAGGTATAGGAAGTCTTATATTACATATGCTATTACGAGTAGCATAAGGAGAAGAGACAACGTCAAACTCCGTTTTATGTTTGTGCACCAAACATACAGTTTCAAGAATGAACAGTGCAACGACGGTTAAAATCTTATTGGCTGCAAAATAATTTCTGCATGATTCCCTAGGTTTGACTTTACAGCGACATCTTACTGCCCTTTTCTGTAATATCAACACAGATGAGAGAAGGGTTGCACTGCATGTTCCCCAAAATGGTATTCCATATCTTATTTAGGATTCAATTAAAGCGTAGTAAACCGTTTTTGCTGTGTGAAAACCCAGCTCGTTAGAAACCACCCTTACTGCATAACATCCGGAGGAGATTTTACTCTTGAGTTGCCTGACGTTTTCATCAAATTTGAGCCTATTATCAATATAGACACCAAGAACTTTTGTGTTCAATTTGTTTTCCAAGATATCATTTTCTAGTGACAGTTCATTTAGCAGACATTTAAATGTTATTATATTTGTTTTGGAGATATTCAAGGATAATAAATTAGCATCATACTAATTTTTCACCTTTTCTAAATCAGATGATATCTTTTTATGTAGCTCTTCTGGGTTTTTTCCTTCCACAATATTGTTGTATCATCCGCGAATAGAGTAAAGCTGCCAGATATATCTATCATAATCAAATCATTAATATACAACAAAAACAGAACTGGACCCAACACAGAACCCTGTGGCACACCAGATGTGACTGCCCTGCTTTCTGAGAGTTCCGATGTTCTTACCATTTGACTTCGGCCTGAGAGGTACGATTCAAACCAATTGTACATCACCCCTCTGCAGCCATACCGGTGAAGTTTTTTGAGTAATAATTCATGATTAACACAATCAAAAACCTTCGAAAGGTCACAGAAAATTTCGGCAGCTACTTCACCAGCATTTATTTCTGAACAAAGTTTATGGAGGAAAGAGAAAATTATTTCACCTGTATCTTTCTCCGTCTGGAACCCGAATTGGTTATTACTCATGATATCATGCAAATTTAAGAAATCATTCAATCGTTTATTCACTAATTTTTCAATAATTTTCGCTAAGGTTGGAATTAGAGAAATGGGCCGCAGATTAGATTCACTAATTTTTCAATAATTTTCGCTAAGGTTGGAATTAGAGAAATGGGCCGCAGATTAGAGGGATTATGCAAATCACCACCTTTATGTAAATGAATAACAATTGAAATCTTAAAAGAAGGAGGGAATGAGCCAGTTTCGAAGGAGGCATTAATGAGATTAACTAAAGTTTCCAATGCATTGCCTGGTAGTTTCAAAAGTATTTTTACAGAAATCTCATCATACCAAGCGGTATTTTCATTTCTGATGTCGTTCAAGGTTTCAATTAATTCATGAATATCTGTGTTATACAAAATGAGGCTATCATCGATATTAATATTTTCTAAATTGAATAAAGGATCATAAGGCATGCGAATAGTGCTGCTTAGCTTTCTAGCAATGGTGCAGTAGAATTCATTTATTTTGTTAGGATTTAATGAAATATCAACCTTTTTTTTTTAATTTTGTTAGTTGATTCTCCAATTCTGTTTCTGTAATACATTTTCTTTGCTAACCTAATAGTTGATTTGTAGCGCTCTGAGGGAAATGGAACATCTTCCGTGAAAGTATCTGTAAAAAAGAGACAAATCTCCAACCTATGTTCGATAATTCAAACTATCAAGGTTACTTGTGATGTTCGTGTCTTCAATCAGTCGGATGGCTCTTTTCTGGAAATAATCTAGCAGCCTCAAGGTATGCTTAGGAGCGGAGTTCCATACATGTGAACAATGGTCTGATCTGAGCTTTATAAAACATCAAAAGTTGCTGAGGTGTGTATAGTTTTCTGGTTCAGATCAGTATTCCAAGCTTTTGAGAAGCAGCCTGTGCAATTCCAGTAACATGATTGTGCTCAGACATATTAGCGTTGATGTTCGCTGATGTTCGAGAAATATCCATCAACAGTCACTTGCAGGAAACTTCTTTCAGGAAGCTGGAGAGCCATACACAAAAATGACTCGACAAGCCATAGCATCGAAGTTTGCCCAGCAAACCCTCATGCCACACACGGTCAAAGGCTTTAGAAATATCAAGCGCAACAGCTCCTGACATCCATGATTCGCGATTGCGTTATTTCAAATATGGGTGACATACGATAGAAGGTCGCCTGTTGATTTTTGTTTTCGAAAGCAATATTAATGATCGCTCAAGATGTCGAAGCCTTCCAAATATCCATGTGGTGGTTAGCATGTGGTGGTTTATGGCTTTCTCAATGATTTTTGATATCACTGATAGCAAAGCGACTGGTCTATAGTCATTTGGAAGATTTTTCTTCCCTTTCAGTGAATAGACTGAACGCGAGCAATCTTCCAACCAGAAAGAAAAACCCCCTTTCTTGTAAGACAGGTTGAAAAGTCTGCAGAATACTGGTGCGAGTTCTTTGGCGCACTTTATAAGTACGATGACGGAAACTTCATTAAGACCAAATGCCTTATTGATAATAACAATATATTGGCAAATGTTAACATTAAAATGTCAACTTGACAATCTTGACATCATCATTTACTGTGTGCCCAGCACCTTTGTGAAAAGAATGCAGGCATTTACTGATTCCCTTTATCAAGAGTGCTATAGATCAAGTATTTATAATGGAATATTTCATATATGGATAAGGGGTTTAACTGGGATTCTATGCATCTTGTGCAAATCATACTGTATAAGAACGTCAGGAGAGGTGAATCTTTTGAATATAATCCAACTATGTCTCCTCGATACAGTATTCAGACTTATTTTGATTTCGGTTAGATTGAACAGTGTGACATTTCTATACTTCTCTAGACTTTCTAATACATATAGGAATATGGGAGTTCTTTTTTTTTAATATTGTTTCCAGTCGCCTTTTTGACTCAGTAGCCTTCTGCAATACTTTTTTTTTCATCTGTACTCCAGAATATTTGCAGAGTGATAATCACAAGTAACAATAATTTGAAGTATTCTTTAATGTTTTTCATTATGTCAACTCATTCCTATATTAATAATTGCTGAATATTAACAAGGACAAAATTTTGAAGACTCACATTTGTCTTCTGTTAAGAAAGAATTTTGATGAGAAATTCACAGATTTTTTTCAAGTTATTTACAATTACAATTATTTACAATTTCGTTCGACTTATGAAAAATACTGAATACACAATTTTGTTTACATGATAGTAGATCCAATTTCATAAGGTACCTACTTTGTGAGCTATATTAATACAAATCATAACACAAATTAAATTTTATAAAGATAAAGCTGTTCTAGCACTTCAAATTGAACTGTTCAAATACTACTTACCATTCCATAGAGCAAATCTAAAGCCCTCAATCTAATAGATTCATCTTTGTCTTCCATGCACTGCAGAATGAGGTCTTTATGGGCTTGGACACTTTTTGGATGTGTTTTCAGGATTTTGGACATGGCTAACAAACCCAAATACTTGACTGAAACAAGTAGACAAAATTAGCATGAATAAATTTAAACAACGGATTACATCAATCGATATATTGAGTTGTAAACTGATCAATTTTTCTGTATAATTTACTACCATAATTGTAATTTTTTATTTTTATATACCGCAAACATCATATCTCTAGTCTTTTACTATAATAACCTGTATCTATTTTTTAAACAAAAAAAATGATGAGTTTTCAGAACAGAACCCTATGTATATCTCCTTTTCATCTTAATTTGACAAAAAATTATTCGATTATTATATTCACCACTTACTGATTATTTTTCTTTTCATTGAGAACAAAAATTTCAATTGAAACAGGATAAAAAACAAAAATTTACAAAATCCAAAGCTCGGCTTTTCATAAAAACATCATTTTCATTGAATGAATACTTACGATTTTGGTCGGAATCTTCAATAAGTATCCTTAATTTTTGTACACAAAGTTGTATACTGGCTGCATGATTAGGCATTCCAGTTGATATACTTATTAGGACAGCAATGACTGTATTAATACATTCATAAAGTAAACTCATTGCAGAAGTGCTGTGAAAAAGAAGTAATAATTATTCATCATGTTATTTAAATAGGGCATCTACAAAATTTTTAATTATGATAATATGTGTGAACTACTGAGTTCAAAGTCTGTAGGTGTTTTTTGATCCACAAGCTCCACAACTTTGTTCATAAGAATGAGAGAATTTATCCTAAAACTGATTTCATTTCAGTAAACCAAGTGAAAATTTGGTTACAGTTTCAAATTTATTGCATATACAAATTGACATTATGATTCATTACTCAAAAACGATAGCTTGAAAGTGAATGCTCAAAAACAATTGGTTGAAAAGGCAATTGATCAAATGGCGAATTCCTAGAATAATTTTTGCTCCAATATACAATTCGACGGTCCCAACGAAGACTGTAGTAACTCTATTTTCATGAAAAATGAGAATTGAAACTTTCTGTTTTTTACCACTTTTATTTGTAACTAACATTACTGCAGTTTCGTCCTATAAGGACATTTTCAAACTTAAACTAAAAATGATTGATTACATTAGCTTACAGAGTAATATACCCCCAGATCAAACAATCAGAAATCAAGAAATGAGTAAAAGATATTTTGGTAAAAGAACAGAGATAATTGTGGGTTTCTTCAGAAAAAACAATGTGTTAGTGGCATTCCGACCACATGTCAGGTTATCTGATTTCCTTTTGAATGTCAAAGATAAAGTGGACAAGTTGGAGAAATATGGAGTTTATAAGCTCAAGTGTCTGGAGTGTAATAGTGTTTGATGGACAATGTGATCGAAATTTCTCAAAACGGTATACTGAACATGAAAGGTCCTTCAGTCTAGGTAAAAAAGGTAAAAAGAAGGTATGAATGTAATTAGGTATTATTGAATCGTTCCTATTAAAATGGTCTTTAGTTGAATGGTTGCCTATCTTCGATTGGGTCGATTATACCTACTTGATATCTACGATACAAAAAAAATTGAAATAAATATGCAATTTGGTTTTTCATGATTTTTAGTGAAGTTAAAATGGTGTGAATATGGAGTTTGTTAAAATCGAAAAAGGGAAAAAATTGTTCATTGAATTGTTATTTGTTAAAATATCCAAATTCATGGATAAAGCCAGAGAATGGGCAGTAACATTCAACATTGTCGTCAGAAGTCAAAGGAGCTATTGGAAAACTGCCGGCCATAAACACAATCAAAAGAACAATTTGAAATGTGCGAGTACGGACAACCGGCTCTAGAGATTTCAAGAAAACTTTACTAAGTAATGAATTTCCTTCGCTACGATTCTGGTCCCACGAATTCATGCTCTTTTGCCAAATAAAAGAGAACCAACGTGCACGAAATTTCTGCAAGTGCTTCAGAATACAGAACCGTCACTTTCACCAAAAGCAGTTTCAACAGACTTTGAATTAGCTGCTTGCAAGTCGGTGCACGGTCAGTTACGGTGCATTAACATTTGTTCCGCATACACAAGTAGTAGTTGTGTTCGAGCAATTGGGTGGGTGACAAAGAAACAATTCCTGAAGAGGCTCAATTTGTTCTTGATTATTTTGAGGATACTTGGTCGAGATGCCCAGAAGGAAGTAATCGATGCCTCAAATCATTATTTGCCCATTATATGTGGAATAATGCTACAGTGAGTGCTGTACCAAAAACAAACAATTCAGTAGAGGGTTCGAACATAAATCAACCTGCAGCCATCCTAACTTGTGGGAATTTATCGAAGCCCTCCAAAAAAAAATAATTTCAAAGTTCTGTTAAAACAGAACAGTATGTCGCAGGTTGAACCGCTACACAGCAGATGAAGTACTAGATAGATTACTCTGGACGTTCACAAAGGATCTGTTGCCAATTTCATCCAAACAATCTATTAAATCACCTTCGAAGTATTGCCCACAATATATATCATTATGGTTTTGGAATACTTGTAATATTATTTTGTAGATATCTAATTGAAAAACAGTTTTGTTGAAACGATGGCCTAATCGAGCATTTCAGCTATTAAGGGAATATGCATTTGATGATTTCAAAATTCGAGCAATTGTTTTTTAAGCATTTGTTTTCGAGCAATTGTATTTGAGCAACTGTTCTCAAGATATTCACTGCAACTATTGAAATTTTATAATAATAAATTTGTAGACACCCCGTCGATTTCAAAAATATAATATTCTTATACTTATATTTACTTACATACATACCTATGTATAAGATTAGTCAATGGTTCAATTAATTTTTTGCCTAGCCTAGGTTCTAAGGGGGTAAGAGCACCAAACTAAAAAGAAAATAATAAAAATTATAACTACATTTCTAAAATCTAGGTTTCGAATGGAAAACAAAACTTGAGTGCAAATTATTGCAGTTTCCTTAGCATGATATACTTTTTTATCTACCTTGCAATGGTATTCACCAGAGGTTGTGTCAACTTCAAACCAATAGCAGGTTCCACCATTGTGAAAGATGAAAACTGTTTTCAATAAATAAGAACATTGTTTGAATGTGAGATTTTCATTATATTCAATATTTATAATATGAATTGTAATTCTGTTAATGAATGCTAACATTTATACAAATAATGTGCAGTTCATTTTCTTATTCCTAGTGATTGATTCATATTAGACAGTAGCAAATGTTGCCAATCTACATAAGGTTTCCAATCCCCATCCAAACTCCAAAAGGTTAATACATTTCATTAATATAAATATAAAAAATCTAACAGAAAATAATTTTCTCAACAAATGGATTGCAACAGTATAAAGTAACCTTAACGTACTTCATACATATTCAACAGAAAAAAATTAACATATTTGTTTTTGAAATGGTTGTCTGTCTATCATTCAAAAACCAAGGGCAACTGTGATGGACACCAAAAACAGAATTCAATGATAGTTTTGATGTCAGAACACAAAAAACGATTTCAAATAAATTCTGTGTTTTCATCTTACAGTTTTCTTGACCCAGATCCTAGGAAAATTATTGACTGTGATGCTTTTCACTACTCATATAAAGTGAAAGTTTTCAACATACAGACCTATCAGAATCACCTCCATGTGACTTTTGTAATTTTATGTAGTTTATGGATTTATCAATCAATGTTTTCATAGAAGCGAATGGCAAAACTCTTCTCAGCGTACTTTTTGCCAACTATGTTGGTATCATCAAGAGATGAACCAGACTCCTCTTAGAGAATAGACTGAACTCAGTCTAGTTCATCTTTTGGTGAAGCCACCTTAGAGGATGAAACGACTATCGAGAAGAGTGCTGCAATTCTGGTGTGTGAGAGTCATACTTGTTTTTGACTCTATGTAACATTTCATATTATTTCTCTTTTAAAATGACTTGTCTGAGATCAGCTTCAATTTTCAGCTTCAATTTTTGTTGGTTATGTTTTATAACTTTCAATCACATGAGGTATTTCTGATCCAAATTAACTTAGGAAAGAACAAAATTTCTATCTTCCTATCTTTGTTGATTTCAGCGAAAGAGAGCCTATCGGTTACCACAATTTTTGTGTTATTCAGAAAGTTTAGCCTTTTGCAGTTTATAAAAATACTTATGAACTAAGGATTATTTAAGATTTTCAATTCGAATTTAAAAATTTGACTCTACCTTGTTCCAATGTTTTGTTGATCTCATTTCAATGAGGATAAATTTGTTTCTGTGTATTATGAACAATGTTTAAATGTTGTAACAGTGCCTGACTTGCCACGAATTTACATTGTATTTGAAACGGTCAAAAAATTACTCTGCTCTACTTCTATGAATATCGATGAAACTTTTCGTACTATTCTGTGATTTCAGAGAGCTACTTAATGCATTAAAGAACAATTCATAAGGATCATTTGACAGAAAAATAGATAAAGGAATTGCTTTAAAAGAAAGTTGAAAAATATGGATAAAAATCCTCATAAAAACCTCATCAAAAACTATAAGGTGTACCAGCCATTAGCTGATAAAAAAATTTAAAATAACTTTCAATGTTTCCATAAAAGTGGCTTATCAAACATTAAACATAATTCACAAAACTATGTACTATTTTTTTCCAAAGAGTTCTACTTTTTTCAAGTAAGACCCTTCATCGGCAAATTTGCACATCAAGAATATACCTTATGCCAAATCAAATTTCTGGAATGAGGCAGTGAAGTATCTGTAAAAGGGAAAATAATTTACAGCTTTCCTACCTTGGTTTAAAGTTGGAAGAGTTTTTGTCAATGACAAATCTTTATAAAGATGATTTGTTCTCCTTTTTAGAGTCGATAAATATTTAGAACTGTTTGGATGCCAAACAATGCCACAGAATGATCTGGTCTACTGCGCCGAAGGGAAGCAAAGACCATAAAATAAGAGAAGAAGAAGACAGAACCCAGAATGAGTTTAATCTGTCTTAGAAAGCTACTGAAATTGACGTATGATTTGGCACAAAAAAGAAATCCTGTTTTTGCTATGCTGAGTAGGGAGAGTATTAATGATCATGAAATGAAACACTTTGTTGCATGTTCATTTAATTTTTTATTTAAATTAGTTGCTCTGGATTTTTTGATACTTCCTACTGTTTGTATTAGTTTTTATGTGGGATGCTTACAAACACATATGAATACATGGACGTATAGTATTCGTTTACTTTTAATTATTATAAAGTCATTGGAAAATCAAAAACCCTGTTGTTTGTTTCACGATTTAAGGAAAATAGTTCTGAATAGCAGACGTCCTTAATACTTTTGTCTGTATGCCTGGTTGCTAAAGTAGTTCATTTTTATTGATTGAAATCGTCTATTTATGTATATTTTTATCAAGATTTGGCATGTGCCTATTAGTCAAATATAATAGTTGTAGCCATAAAAATCAGAGTCATCCATTGGAGAAGACAATCAAATTATTCCAGCCAGAGCAGCTAAATCCACTAATTTTAATCTCCATAAAGCCCTGAGAGAAAGTTTCACTGAAATCGTAATTACCTGCCTGAATAATAATTCAGATAGAATGTCATAGCATGGTTGGTTTTTCTGGTGAAAAACCCACCGTGTATTATCAGCTCTTGGCATAACCTTTGAAGTAGAGATCAATAATTTAACTAACATCTGTAGAGTTAACCTGGTAGAATATATTTTCAGGAAAAAAGACTTACTAATTTGATAATTTTTATGAGCATCCAGTTATTTGTACTAGTCGTCATCAACTTGAAAAAAACTGGAGCAAGGCTGAGATAATTTTTTGGATTTTTCCTTGCTAGTTCACACACTACATTTACTGCAGCAGATTGTACTCCTGAAACCAAAAATAATGTAATAATGTATTGTGCAATTTAATTGGTTTATGTGAAGTGAATATATTTAATATCAAATTATTTCTTTTCAACATTTTGTATAGGAAATAAATAAGAATTAGGTACTATACCTGGATCGGCATCTTCCAATTTCTCCTTCAACCTAGGAAAGGCAGGTCTTAAGGCTTCAGGATATTTTAAAAATACTTTATACATCATTAAAACAGCCTTTTTTCTTATGTAAGGTTTGGTTGAACTAAGCTGAAAAAAAGTTGAAGTTCTTGATCATGATCATAGACAGGGACGGTCCTTACCAGAGTCAGAATATCGTTTGATAAATCTCTAGCTAAATCGATACTAATATAACAACTCAAAGATGTCAATGCAAGTCCTGCTTCGTACTGGTTTTGCGAGTTCAATTCTTTCCTTATCATATTGGTGGTTAACATAAGTAACTAAAATGAATTTATTAAAGTATAATAAATGCAAAATAATTGAAGTTAAAAACTTTTTTAATGTAAATGATGAGAATACGAGTATATTTTCTAATATTTCAATATTAACGTAATCTTTCTTTCTAAAGAAGACCAAACTTTGATGAATGAAAAGGATTCAGTCAAGTATCAAAACAAGGCACTATAGATAGCTTATTTAAATTTTGGTACAATATTGATGGTTGAATTTATAGTCAAACCCTTATTAAAAAAATATTGAATAAATGAGAGACAACTGTTCTTAAGTTAGAACCAGAACGAACTTTTACCTGTTTCTTATTTATATCGTGGAGGAGAATTGAATGGTGTTCAAATGTCGGGGTTGAATAAAGTCTTCTTGGGGACCCATATTTTTTGCAGAAATCACATTTCCGTGTAGAGAGAACAGCGCGTGAATATGGCATTTTTCAATTACAAAATAATCATTCATTCATGAAATGGAAAACACATGATTCGTTTTGGACAAATGAATAAACATTTTCAAAACTTGATGAACACCGTACATATAATGATTGACAGATAATTCTTGAGTTAACAAATATTGTTATGTCATATTTTGAAACAAATATTTGTTATAACAGGTTTCCAAAAAAACTATTATTTCTTCAGACCCATTTTTGAGCTGATCCTACTATTGTTAACTTGGAAATGGTGAAAAGGCGGGAAAAAAATAATGAGGTGAAGCACCGTTCTACTGAAAATGTAAGAGATCATCATTGAAACTTAATTACTTTTTTTCACAAACTACACTTAAACGATTTGATCTCCACTAACTTTATTGAAAATAATCATAACATGTTTCGCTAAAACATTAGCTTTTT